ACCAAATGTAACTACGTACAAACTAGCGGTGGCCAAATTCTTCTATTCCTGTATGTCGACCCATAAACTCTTGTATATCGCCGATGAATCGACTGCGAGTAGTAGCATGTCTGCTTACCAGGAAAATAGAGCATTATCAATACCTACCTACCTACCTATCCACTTCACGAATCGCTTGCACGCCGTGACCACTTTACCCGATCCAGCCTGATCTGCGCCTTACGGGAAGAACGCGACCGTAGTCCCAGTCGTACTTTTTCTAGTTGGAATATTGCACCTGGGATTTGACCGATTCGAGGGAATATACATAATAGAACTAGTCGTATCTAGTTGAGGTTTACTGCCCAACCAACCAACTGGCTTATTTACCAGGAGTGTTGTGCTGTTTGTAATCCTCCAAGATACTTCGCCGGTGGTCGCGCTGCTTTAATATCTCTATCGCATTGGGATATCGACTGCATCAGATCTGCTTCGGTCCCTCACTGCTCCACTTCGAGTATAACGATTACCTTGGTTTAGACTAGACCAAAAGGTTTACGTTCGCGAGATCGCCCAGTCGTGATCCTCGCATTTCCAAGTCTACATACAAAGTTTCTGTGTTTAATTGGCTATTATCACCGGTGGAAGCCGTGACCTAGCGAATACCACAATACTCTTGGCAGCACTGTCATCGTTATACCCCTGAACTTTCTGCAAGAGGCTCTCTATCTCCGAACTATTAGGATCCTTAACGTCAGCCTACCATCTCCTAGTAGCTCTCGACGCTTACTCATTGGCCTCATATCTCTCGATCCCTGATGCTCTAAACCGCCATTCTAGAGAGCAGCTTACGTAGATTGAAGAATAGGCTGGGCCCCCCTTTATAGCATTCGAATTTCCTAAGTCCGGCATACATCTTGAACGAAAGAGCGAGCACCCCGAAAAGAGCTTCTATTTGCCTACAGTATTTGAATTATTCCAAAATGACCCCCACACCTCCGTCTGCTACGACATCATCCTCGGGCCACTCGCCCGAGGAGCATTTCAGGGTGGTTCGTCGTCGAAATAGGGTGCCGCTTAGCTGCTATCCGTGCCGGACGAGGAAGTGAGTGATCCTGTTCCTTGAAAATGCTAGCCCAATTCCCTAATCCAACACTTCGCAGTTTTCCTATATAAGACGACATCGCTGACCTGCTCAACAGGTTGAAATGCAATAGGGGAACTCCGAATTGTGAGAACTGCATCAAACGTGGTGACACACAGTCCTGCGTCTATGCTACTCCAACGAATCGGAGGAAAAATCAAAGTAGTGCTGGAGCTTCCGCAACTCCTGATGATATGCAGAACCGTATTGACCGTCTAGAAGGTTTAGTTCTAAGTCTGATGCATGGCGGTGCGAACATCGAAATTTCCAACTCTTCCAATACCGTACCCCCAGCCCCTTCTACGTCTGATAGCTCTTCTCCCAATGTCGATCAAGACGATGAAGGGGTTATGAGGGACAACGAGGCCGACGGCGATGGTCCTGGCAGTGACGTGGATGATGGGCTATCCACATCCTTAGGTATGCTCAAAGTCGACGCAGATAAAGGGAAGTCCATGTACGTTGGGCAAGATCACTGGCATCTACTCCTGCTCGACATTGCCGAAGTAAAGAATTTCTTTGCCTCTCACAAGAAAGAACTTGAAAACAGTTATCAGAGAGTCATGTCTTCAAAGCCTGTAACTGCTCGAGACTCGCCCATCTTTTTACTTTCTGCCCCGCCGGCCGTGGAAGTCGAACTGAGAGCGGAACTACCCTCGAGGACGGCCATAATGACGTTAATATCGAGGTATTTTAACTCGTTAGATACTGCTGCTAGTATAGTTCACGCGCCTACTTTTCAAGCACAGCTACGGGCGCACTGGCAAGATCCATCTAAGTCGACTATCACATGGATAGGTTTGCTCTATTCCATGCTATGCCTTGCGATGCTCAGTTATCATAAGGTTGGAGACGAGCCCCCAGAATGGAAAGGTAGGTCTCTAGAGCTCGCAGCAGAATATCGATTGCGTACGGTACAATGCTTGGTGGCCGCGGATTATACCAAGCCGGTTGAGTATACAGTGGAAACACTAATTCTTTACTTATTTGGGGAATATTCTTCACGCTGGGACGCAGACTTTTCATTATGGATCATAACAGGTATCATTGCGAAATTGGCTTTTCGAATGGGCTATCACCGAGACGCGGACTGGTTTCCGTCAGTTACGCCATTCCAAGGGGTACGGTTATAATATCTCTCAAGTTCGAATTTTCATCCGGTAGAACAGTATATCGCTAATACTATCGTTACAGGAAATGCGACGGCGAACATGGGCTTTGATACGCATGTCTGATATCATATTCTCGTATCAAGTAAGTTACCTATACATAACGGCTCGTTATTATTTCATCCATTCATGGTCACTAATATGTCCGAAGATTTCTTTACCGGCAAGCATCCACGAACATGACACCGACACGAAGCTTCCGCATAACATCTTTGACGAAGAATTCGGTCCTAATAGCAAAACTCTTCCTCCTTCCAGGCCGATGGTGGAGCCCAGTCCGATCGCTTATATGATAAGTAAAACCAAATTGTGTATTGAATTAGGAAATGTCCTCCACTCGGTCTCCCGAGTAGGCAAGCCGGTGAGCTATGATGATATCTTACAACACGACAAGAAACTCCGCGAAATCTTGGATGAGTTCCCACCGCATCTAAAGATTCGCCCCCTCGATGGATCGCACGACCCCGTAACGCTCATCATTGCGAGATTCAATTTGGACATCCTATACCAGAAGATCATGTGTATGTTGCACAGGAAGCACATGTTGCGCGCGAGGCAGAATCCGCGATACGCGCATTCTCGTCGTAGCGCAATTGAGGCCTCACTAGAAATTCTAGGGCATCTAAGAATGATACACCGTGAATGTCAACCAAATGGCCGACTTCGTTCTATGAAATGGTATGTATCAGCCACCTCTAAAGACACATTGCTTCCAACAATGATGGTCATCCTTGATCTTCACCATGATCATATTGCTGCCACGTCTGGTAAGCGGCAGGATTCGCGGGCAATTTACTTTTGGACGCCGGAGCAACGGCAGAAGATGATGAGTTCTCTCGAAGCGGTTGCAGAAATCTGGAAGTCACTGTCCAACGAATCGGTTGAGGCATACAAGGCTGCAAATATCCTCGAGATCATGCTTGGAAAGCTCAAGAACCCTCCTTCGGCACCGGCTGGTGCTGCTGGAGGATCAACGACGCAACCTGGACATCCCTTCCCTTTCGGTGTTCAAATGCTACCCGAGCATTCCGCGGCCATGACTCTTGGTATGCTCTCAGAGGGCTCGACGTCAACCATCCAGTCACCCGGTGGAACAACTTATCCGAATATAGACCTTAATTTGGGAGGCGTAGGAGGTGTCGGGGCTAGAACGGGACTTACACCTGAATTCCAACCTGACAATCTTGGTACAATTAACAACGCCGCGTCACCGTTCTCCATGTTCACAACTCTAGGCGGAGGGGGCAATATGGCTATCGATCATAATTTCGACTGGGTATGCTCCCAGACTCAATACACCCTCGGGTGGTAGATATCAGGCTAACCATGATTTAACAGGATGCATTTGAGAATTACGCGCAGACAGCAACTTGGGGTCCAGATCAGACATCCTTCCAATTCTTCGCGGGGAACCCCGAGCAGCAATCCCAGCAAGGATCGTCCGATGGTTCTTTCGCGTTCTTGAACCCGGACACGCCCAGCACATAGCCTTCCGCGGCTCTAATTTTGTGAATATTGAAGATGGCGCTCGGCTGTGATGGGTCGGTGTGAAAGTCAGATACCCGGTAAAGGAGCCTTTGCATATCGGTATACTCAAAGTGTGGCACTCTTGTCTATTCTAGGGGTTACAAAAAAGGGAAAATTGCGGATGGAGGGAGGACGTAATATGTACGTATAGCTCTTTTGACCATGTCTATGGTACGTAAGTCAATTACACAACTCTCCTCCGGGCGCATATTGGTGCCTAAAATAAACTTGGCTATCCTTTACGGCTGAAGCCACTTGTAGATCACCTCTGGTAGTGAAAGAGATATTTGGTGGCGTTTATTGCGTGGCTTTTAGCTACAGTACTTAAGGGCTTCAAAACTGAGAGCTATTTTGTATACATGTCGTATGACCTTGCCCCCCCCCTCTCTGGAGACCCCCCCTGGAAAGTTTTCGGGCGTGAAACATGAAGCGTGTTGTGGCTCTCTCGAGGTAATGGACAACTGATACATAACACCCAAGTTATATTTAACCTATTTTCTCCTGTCTCCTCGTACTACGTTGATTGAGAAATTGTCTAGCATTCTTTCATCCGAAGCAGCCTCGTCGGAAGCTACCCTATCTTCCCGGCGTTCAGGGGTTATAAAAAAAAAAGGATAGGAAAGGAAGGTAGATTCATATAAAGTTCTACGCCTCTTAAGCGCATTACGGGTTACTACATATGTCAAGTGGCGTGATTCTTGATTGCGCAACGGATCTGATTTTGTCTTGCATGTTGTATGATTCTTAGGCGATTGTATCGAAGTCGTGATATTGCGCTCATAGGTAACCCTGTATCAGTAGGGCCCTCTAACACGTACCTAAGCTTTTAGAGAGTATATAGATGTAGTGTATAGACATGATAAAATGAGGGGATTAAAGTATATATTAAATATATTGTGTGAGACCTAACCTAAGTGGCGTTGATAACGGAATATATGTATATTCGACAAGGGAATCCGCATCTGTAGGTTACACTTGGCAACCAACGCAGAACATTGTTTAAAGCCCAATAGATATTGAGTCCTATAGTTACCTAAGGTAAATCAAGTGGTGTAACGCCATCTTGATTAAGCACGCTTGGGTGTTTATAAATAGAATGCAGCCTCTTAAGTAAAGGTGCCCGATATTCTGTATTGCATGCATATCTTTCAACGTGTAAGTAAGGGATTCTATACATGTTGCATAGACGACATTAGTAAATGTATTGCTTTATAGTCTGAGCTTAAGATGGAGGAACGATAGAATGAAGATCAGCTAATCCATACAGTATTAACAAAGAAATGTCAACGCTAAATGACAATTACAAGTTTCCAAAGTTTGGTCAGACATGACATATTTACACTAGGCTCAAATTATATCACATTAGGGACTCATGAAAAACTGGTAAATATTGTCAGACCAGTGAATATTGTCAGACCACGGAATTTTTAAACGAATTGTAAAATATTGATATACACGAGAATAGAATAAGACCGAACTTGAAAGAGCAACGACGCTATTTTCCCCCACTAGATGCTATGATGATGCAAGAAAGCAATGCCCAAAACGCCCGTATGATCTGACAACTTCAATGCCTCATACATCGTTCCTACATGGTACGCTTACATGAGGCCGAAGGCCTTCCTGGCGGCGTCCCAGTAGCCCTGTCGCTTGGAGTCGACGGTAACACCGACGCAGCCCATGTAGGCCACGAAGCCGGCGTCGTCGCCCTTCTTGAGGGCCTCCTGGACATCGGGAGTGCACTGGGTGCTGAAATACCAAGGGCCGCTGCCGAAGTTGTACTTGTTGTCGTTGACGAGGGAGAGGACCTCGTTCTTCTTGTCATCGGGGGCGTCCTCGCCGACGCCGGCAACCTGGCCCGCGAGCTCCGGGATGGAGTTAGCGTACTTGAGGTTGAACTTGAACATCTGCATGTTCGAGGTACCCTGGCCGGGACGGCCGGGGGAGACGTTGTGCTTGAAAGTGTACTCGACGGACTCGAAAGCCGTGAGCGCGATGATACCGGCCATCTGAGCCGGGTTGTAGATGCCGTACTGCTGCATAGCCTGTACTAGTAGGGGGCCGATGACGTCGGACTTGACGCACTCGCCCCCGGCAGCACAGTCTACGGTGCTGGGTGCGACCTCAGCAATGATGGCCGCCGCGGTCTTCACATCACGGATTTCGTGAACGACACGGGGGGCGGCAAGAGCCTGACCAGCCAAGAGGAGACCGGCGGCGGAAGCGACTTGAACCTTCATGATGATAGTGGTTGGTGTTGATGAAGTTGTTATCTTAGAGTTGCAAAAATAGTAATTGATCGACGTCTTTTTCAAACCTGTGAAAAAGAACGATGTTTGGTTTTGTAGAAACTGGGTCGATTGTTCGTGTTGGTCCACGTATCTTCGTCTCTGTGGCTCGGCCTGAAGATGGTGACTTTGTGGTTTGGCAACGAAAATAGAACGAAAGAATGGAACCGCTAGGGGTTGTTTTTGTTTAAAGAAAGTGATTGTTGAGAAAGTAAAGGGATAATGCCCGTTATACAGAAAAGTAAAAGAGTGAAATGTTGCCAGACACGAACAAGACTTATTTGGGTGGTGAATAAAAAGAAGAGGGACTATAAGGGCGGGATCAGCGTAGGATATATATCAGATGTCCGGGTATAAGACAAAGAGATCTCTTAGATACCTACTGTAAGTAGCCGATCCTCCTAACATGTAACTGGACAATCTAGCAGGTGCCACCCGAAGCCCCTGAGTCCGTTACTGATCATACATACCGTAGTGAATAAGTGCTTGAACCTTCCCATATCTTGCTAGTACAAGAACGGAGGTGATGTGCAAAGACAGCAGGGGTGAGCTAGGGGTAATGGTGATAGCCAATCATCGTGACTAAAGGGTCTTGGAGGCCGCAAGTCAAAACAATGACCCCGGCTGAGGTTGTGATGTTTCAAACCAAACGCCTCCAATTGATTGGCCGTAAGGATCGGAACTGGCCACAGCTATGATATACCTAAAAGGAACTCATAGGTTTCGTTGTTCTAGAACAGAGGCGAGGCATACCTAGTCTTTCTAAGCTGCAGTCCTTCAAGGCCCATCAATGAGATTCCTTTGTGAGCTTAGCATTTGCCTTTGTATTTATTGGGGGGGATTTTGGGGAGAAAATTAAGGGCGACTTTAAAACAAGCAAATTTCCTTATGAGGAAGTTCACCAAATACTTGGGTACCTAAGGGGCTAATTTAAGCCACTTATACGGATCTCGGCCGCCTCGGATGTCGAAATAATAATTAGTCCGCTATTTGTGTAGGTACCTAAGTATAGCTACAGTACATGGATCCATGCATCTCCATTCGCCTAGCCCCCGTCGGTTGCATCGGCCGATATGGAGAACATTACCGAAAGGCACGCACAAGCCACAAAAGCTTGTTACTTCCATGTAAATTTGTGGCTCGGTAGCTTGAGCTTTTTCTGTCCGATCTGAGTGGTGGAGAGCTCCAAACTTGAGGTACCGCTTGAAGCTGCCTGACGGGATAGTGCATCAAGTCCAACGTTACGCACTTTCAGATCGCCAATACTTTATTCTACACCCCGCAATCCCTAAAAGTGCACAGATACCTAGCTAGCTACCTCTTAAGCTACCTGATTAAAACTTAACCTCGTGGTCCTATCGCCAGTAAGATTATCTTCGATCCCAATAGCTGCGCCTTCAAGATGTCCAACTTAAATAATTATATCAACAGTAAGTTACGCTATACCCTTTGACCTTGTTGGTATCGAGGCTCGAGCAAAGCTTACAACGCGAGGAATCTAACAGTTGCGTAGAGAAGGTCCTGATAATTACAGCTGACTCTCGAACCCTGGTGGGGAATCTATTGAGCTGTGACCAGATGACCAACTTGGTAAGGGCGGAGCATTGCATTATATTTTTAGATTCGAATCTGCGGCTAATCCCACATATCCAGGTCCTTGGACAAACCGTCGAGCGCGTCATCCGAACACCCGACGATACGGAACCATCTACCGAAGTCCCCTTGGGTCTTTACCTTGTCCGGGGAGACAATGTTTGCGTGGTGGGCTTAGTAGACGAGTCTCTTGACGATAGTATCAACTGGGAACAGGTAAAGGGTTCGGCAATCGGTGGTATTAAACACATATAGGAGTCGGTGGCGGCGGCGGCGGATCATGCCCTGAAACACATGCTCTTGATACCTTGAGATTTCACTTCTGGCGTTGGGGAGAAAATAATAATTGCATTTACATGAGAGAGGAATCTGGAAGCTTTACTCATAGGGTACGCTCTTGTCTAATGATACCCACATATGCGTCTTGCTGACATCTCTATCGTCCCCGCCGTGTCAGATATATAGTGACCAACTCGTTGTCTTCCTTAACTACTGTCCTTTTCACCCGAACAGACGCTCCATTAGGAATGGCGCAAATTCCATCTCGCCTGGACTGCTAACGTATCTGTTTATTCTATTGCCCCTCACCAAGCTGAGCCAGCCATGTTCATCCCTAGGGACCTCAAAAGTCGTTACACCGTCGGGTCGTGCTCTACCGCGACGATCCGAAACGTGCATCCCGTGAGTCCACTGTCCTGAGGTCTCGATACGGATATCTTCTGGCGCATTCTTGGCCAGCTTCCATGCTGGGTCGGATCCTGTGAGCATGTACCAGATGGTTAAAGGGTCATGAAGCGATAGACCCGGTTCCTCTTCAGGACCAACAATGGAGGTGATTTGACGGAATATTCCAGCCATGAAAGTATTGATCCATACTCCTAACGGGCTGCCGCCGGCGAGCTGCGGTTCAATCTTCTCCAGAAAGAAGCCTAGGTTTAGGAGATGAGGCGTAGTAATATCAAGTGGGAACAGACTCAAGTTCAGAGGCCGTGAAAGCTTTTCAGGGTACGGCAGTAGAGTTGACTTATCCTTAGGTATAGGTGGCATAGTGGAAGCCGGGTTCGGTGACGTCAACGCGAACACTCGAGCGGCAGCAACGGCATCGGCGTAAGTGTTGAATTCAGCAACCGGCGTTACGTTGCCCTCGCACTCTACAGCCCCACCCATAACAGCCACCTCCTTGACCTTGAGAAAGGTTTCGGGGTCTTCCGCAGCAGCTAGAGCCAGATTAGTTAATGGGCCCAGGACGCATATTGAGACCGTGTCAGCAGGCTCCTCCTTCAGGATCCTCAGGATCTCTTTGTGTGCTGGTGTTTTCGACGGCGTGAAATATTTTAAATATGAGGGATCTTCGGCATTTCCCTCAAGTCCATCCTTGAAAAGAGCTTTCCAAGTATCAGCCGGCGATAGGTGAGGGTGCTGTTAGAATATGTTAGTCGAGTCTCGCACCAACAAGTTATGTCTTCAACATACAGCTTCGTGAACACCATGTAAGCCGTCAGCTCCATCTACCAGAAATCACCTCGTCAGCATTTTTTCATCTAGCGCAACTCCGCATACATCCATATTCCTCAACCTACGAAAATCATCTGCCATTAAAATCTCATCTTCCAGAGCATGCTCAGGACCGACAGCAACAATAGGTTTATAAGTTCGCAGAACCTCATAGCCTAAAGGCTTCCCTTGAGACTTGCGCCACTCCATCTCCTGGTCGAGAACGTGGAACATGCCGACTACATTTCGTAAGCAGCTCTCTAGAGCCACATTGCCGTAAGTCACCGAAATCATCAGTACTTCTAGCTCCTCGGGCGAGGAAGCCAGGGCAAGAAGCATAGCTATGACATCGTCGGCGCCTATAAAACAGTTAAGATATAAGTTTAATCTCTCACTTTGCTGCTACTTGCCTGGGTCGGTCTCTATAATAATCTTTCTTGGGGCCATGACTATTACAGCGAAGATTTGAAGAATTCTAACGCAGAGTTCTATAGTTCTATAATTCTAGAGCAAGACTCAAGTAGATATAATATTAAATATTTATTAGATAGGCGTGCGGGTTGAGAAGGAAAGTCACGACTGATATTATCGATGAAATATCCTTATCTTATGACCC